GAACTGTCAACATGGCATTACGTGGGTCGCCTATTTAAAAAGCTTCAATTTTCTGATTGGTTTGTTGGTGTTATGCTGTCCGCGAATTAGGGTGACATCATGACGTTATGCGTCATTATGACACATATTTCCGATGCGTTGCTTTGTTTTGCGTGTGACCTTTGATTGTGCGGTTCCAATGCCAGGTAATGATGAACCGACTTTGGTTCTGGAGCCACGACCCTTATAAATAGGGATGTTAGGGTATGATTTTGAAGTTTCAAGTATTCTATATCAAAACCCTGCATTATTCCCTTGCCCTAAACCTCTTCTTTTTGTTCTAGTGACTTACACTCGTTCTCAGTTCTTCACCGTTCGATATTCAAAACATGTGTAACATGCCTTCTGAGTCTAGTGAGGGGAGTGAAGCGATCCCTTTGGCGACGGTGTTTGCTCCCCACGAGGAAAATGTTCCTGTTGCCGTCGATGATGGAAGTTTCCCGTTGGTGGAGGAGATAGTTCTTCGCAACCTTGAGACTAGGTCTGATTCATCTGAATTACACCATACTGACACTGGAGCCTTTCGTTCTGGGTACTCCGCCTTCTACGCCTATCCCTTCCAAGTCGGCTACACTCTCCCTCTTCTTCTGTTGGCGGAAGCATTCTGCCGTTATTACGGTGTTTGTCCAACTCAGCTTGCACCGTATGTTTACATTCTTATAATAATGCAAACCAAGTTTGCCGAGCTAGTCGAGGTCGAATTGACTCTTCGGCTTTGATACATCTCTTCGCTCCTAGCTTTTATAGAGGGACAATGCTGAACCTTCGCCACCGAGGAGGCAAGTGCCTGGTGGTGAAGATGGATGGCAAAGCTAACTGCCAATTTTGGCTCAACTTCTTCTTCATCAGAACCGAGGATGTGGTGGCCAACGTCGACACTTTCCCTGAGACTAGGAATTATACTCGTAAGTACCTAATTTCCTTGCATGTAGGTACTTGATTTTTTTGTTTGGTCGTGGACTCTGACCTCTTGTCCTTTCTCATGCAGCCAAGACCTCGCCTCCTCTTTTGGTCGAGGACATTTCTGATTGGGTTGGTCGACTTCTCCCTCACATCGTAGGGATTCGTCAGTGGTCGGGTTTCTTTAACAGGTTTGGTCCTGCTCTCCCTTTGACCGGAAAGTGCTTTTTATCATTGGAGCCTTAGTTCTTTTTCTTTTTGTTTGCATCTGTTGATCTTTTGTTTCCCTTTGTTTTTCTTAGCTCTAGGGTATCTTTAAGGAGGTTGAGAGCCCCTGCGCCCTCATTCTGAAAGTGGAAAGATACTTCGTCCTCGACTCATGTCCCTTCTTCGGCTGCGGCTACTTCTATTCGTGCCCCGGTCCCTCTAGTGGCTGTCCCTTTTTCGGCCCCAAAGACTGTGACCATTTACCGCCTTATTGTTGAAGACGAAGAGCCTTTGCCTGGTGATGGTGATTTGATGCTCGAAGGAGGAGGGACGTAGACGTCATGGGGGAGAGGTCGACGGCTATCGATGTGGGAGACTGCGGTTTTGTCCCTAGGGATACAGCCACAGTGCATATTGAGGAGAGCCCGAAGGCTAGTCCCGAAGCCATTTGTTTGGAGGATGCAGGTGTTCGACCTGAGGGGGCTGCGGTCGAAGGCGTTGCGGGCGACGACTCTTTGCTTCCAATACGCGAAGTGGCCTCATCTTCTAGTGTTGCGGCGGATGTACCTCCTTTGACTGATGATAGAAGTAAGGCTGTTGCTGAAAAGGATGTTGGATCTGATTTCGATTATGGATGCGGACGAGCTGAGGATGATCGACGATGGGCTTACTCAGCTCGAAGTGAAGTCGGAGGGGGGTTCGAGGACTATTACGATCCCGATGGACTGTAATCTTCTTGTGAATACCGAGCAAAGTATCCCTTCCCTTGTCCCTCTCAGTTCTGAAGTGGAGGGTACGACCCTCAAGGATATGAATGACAATGACCCGTCGAACAATATTGCTGGCCTCACTCTTCGGGTAAATGCATTCGTTTAATTATTTTTCCTTTGATTTGGTTTCTTCACAGTCTCTAACTTCTTTTGTTTGTTTTGTAGGCAGTCTTCTTGGAAATTGAGAGTGCTCGTAGGGAGAAGTGGCGCAAAGACATTTATGTGAAGTTAAAGGATAAGTACTTCAGAGTTCTTGAGAAGTACCGGGAGCTTCGGCGTCAGCTTTGTGATGTGATTCTTCGAGTTAACAAAGAACCAACCGACTAGGATCAAGATCTTGAAACGAAAACGTGGTTTGTGGGCAAATTTCAAGAAACAATGTATCTCAAGTTTTAGGACTCAGAATCTGATGATTCAAAAACAAGGTGAAAGATGATGATCTGTACTATAAGAAAGACTATTTACTCGTACAAAATGAGTAAATATTGATGCTGCACCAGTTCAATGAAAGTTATTATTCAATGATATCAAAAGAACGAATTTAGATCAAGAAACGTGTTCTTGAAAGATCAAGAACTAAAAAGTTCCTAAAGTTACCACTTGGAATCAATTAATGTGATAAAGAAAAACCACACGCAATTGAAAACAAGATAAAGACTATCACCACCTTGCTTGGAACTAAAAACAAGGATAAAGAAGACAAAATAGAGAAAAACACTCTATTGTAAAACTAGGACAAGCCTAAAAAACATGCATTCTACTCTACAAGGCATGGGAACCCTTTATATAGGCCTAGGATCTCTTCTTTGATGACTACAATTTCTGTACTAATTGGGAAATAAAATATCTAAAGACAAAAATAATAAAATCCTTATTTTACAAGGAAAAGAAACTAGAATCCTACTAAATAAAAAATCCTTATTTTAAAAGCATTACAATAAATAAAGTTACACCTACCAATAAAAGGAAAACAAGAATCCTTTCTTGTAAAGACATAATAAATCCTATTTTAAGAAGGAATGAATCTTGGCTTCTTGAAATCAATCTTGAGCTTCATAGACTTCTTGCGCTTCTTAAAATAAGTCCATATGATTGGACTTGAGCTCTAAAATATGATCTTGGCAAAAATAAATAAAATTTAACATATATTCTTCTTTTACATCACTTTGTGAGGGCGACAGTGTGCGCCGACTGAGTGAGGATTTGAAGGCCCGATACGAGGAGTTGGTGCAGATGGTAGGGAAGTGAAGTGTCTTGGAGGGGACGTTGAGGATCAAAGAGGAAGAGCTTGAGCTCAGCAAGGGGGTCGAAGCCTAGTGTAGCAATCTCCATGCTCAAGTGGTTTCCCTGCGTGCCCAGCTTGAGGAGTGTCAGTTTAGGGTGGAGGCTCTAAGTGGCAATATCGCCGAGAAGGCAGACGATTTAGAAAAGGCGTAGTCCACTCGGTCTGAGGCTTTAAGGAAGGCAGACTATCTTGAGGTGGTGATTCAGACTCTCCGTTCCGAGCGGGAGATTGACTTAGCAACAACGAAGCTTAACGAGGAGCGCCTCGATGATAGGATTGGAGAGTTGGAGAAAGAGACTTCTGATCTCTACGATCGAGTCGCTGCTTTAGAGGCCGAGAAGGCTCAACTGTTGGCACAACCGTCTTCTTCCCGTACTTCAAATTTTCCTAATGTTCCTTGGGAATTGTACGAGGAGGGATTTCATGACGAGGCCCAGTTAGATGTGTTTCGAGATCTATACAAGGCGGGATCCATCTCTGAAGTTGCCCTCGAAGATATTCGTGTTAAGGGTCATGAAGCTCGAGTCGCTTGTGGTTATGATCCTGCTACGCCTGAGGCTGATGATGATGAGGGGGACGAGGGTGTAGACCGGCTTGAGGAGAATGCCTGGTATGATGTTGCATATCCTGAGGGCGAAGGCGCTAATGGTTAAGGAGGCGATGCTGTTGAGGACCAAGTCGGCAGGGATGTTGAAGGCCGTGATGGTGATGACCAGTAGTTTTCTTTTGATTTTTTGTGTATGTTTCAGCTGGCGTCTTCACGAGCTTATTGTAAATAATTTATAAGTACATGAACTGTTGAGTATTTCCTTGCATCTTCTTCTGCTCCTGCAGTTTATTTACTATACTTGTGCATATTTTTGTTTCTTTGTTAGGGTGTGGTCAAGGGCCGAATAGTGTTTGTTCGAGCAGGGTCAAACATAACCTTTTATTAAGTTGTAGGCGAGGGCCGATAAGTGTTTGTTCGAGTAGGGTTGAACATAACCTTTCATTAAGTTATGGCCGAGGGCCGATAGGTATTTGTTCGAGTGAGGTCGAACATAACCTTTCATTAAGTTGCGGTTAAGAGTTGAAAGGTGTTTTTCGAGCAGGGTCGAATATAACCTTTCATTAAGTTGTGGCTGAGGGCCGATAGGTGTTTGTTCGAGCAGGGTCAGACATAACCTTTCATTGAATTGCCTCCGAGGGCCGAAAGGTGTTTTTTCTAGCAGGGTCAAACATAACCATTCATTAAGTTGCGGCCGAGGGCCAAAAGGTGTCTTTTCGAGTAGGGTCCAACATAGCCTTTCATTAAGTTGCGGCCGAGGGCCGAAAGGTGTTTTTTCGAGCAGGGTCGAACATAACCATTCATTAAGTTGCGGTCGAGGGCTAAAAGGTGTTTTTTCGAGCAGGGTCCAACATAACCTTTCATTAAGTTGCGGTCGAGGGCTGATAGATGTTTGATCGAGCAAGTGAGGGAAATAGTAACCACGACCCTACCTCCGCGTACTTCGACACCAAACGTTCCCTTCGCCGCCTTGTTAAAACCCTCCTTGAGAAAACCCAAATGGGACAAAACTCAAGTGAGGGAAAAAAGAGTATGACATGGGGGACGCTTTTCCTCTCAGAAGTTAAAGTATTTGAGGTGGCTCATATTCCAATTGTTTTTTAGTAGCTTTCCTTCCATTGTCTCTAATTGGAACGAACCCTTGTTTGCTTCGGCTGTGATTTTATGTGGACCACCCCAATTTGTTCCCAGTTTGCTTTCCCTGAGATCTTTGCTCGCTTGAGTTTTTGCTTTCAGTATATAGTCCCCGACTTTAAGTGGCCTGACCTTTGCTCTCTTGTTGTAATAGCGTTCTGCTTGTTGTTTTTGGGTGACCATTCTTATGTAGGCCATATCTCTTCGTTCGTTCGTCGAGTTCCTGCCTTCTGCTCTTGCTGTTACTCGTGTCGCTCTCATGGGAGTACCTTATGCTAGGTTCTCCGACCTCAACTGATATTACTACCTCGGTCCCATAGACCAAAGAGTATGGCATCTCTCCAGTGCTTGTTTTTGGAGTTGTTCGGTAGCCCCCCAATACTTCTGGTAGTATTTCCAGCCACAGTCCCTTGGCGTCTTTGAGCTTCTTCTTCATAAAGTTTTTATTGACTTGTTGGAGGACTCTGCTTGTCCGTTTCCAGCTGAGTGATACGGGATCGAGAGTATCCTCTTGATATGCCATTTCTCGAAGAATTCAGCGGTTTTCTTTCATGTGAACTGGGGTCCATTGTCGCAACTGATTTATTTGGGAAGGCCGAATCGGTAGATGATGTTTCTCCATATAAAGGTGATTACTTCCTGTTCCCATATTTGGGCGAATGCTCCTGCTTCCACCCACTTAGAGAAATAGTCAGTTAAAACTAAAAGGAATCGTATGTTACCTCGCCCTACTGGTAGGGGGCCCACGATGTCCATTCCCCATTTGATGAATAGCCAAATGGATGTGACTAAGTGGAGATGTTCGCCTGCTTGGTGAATCATTGGGCGTTCCTTTGACCATCCTTCTTTTTTGTCATTACTGCATTGGCGATCCACTTAGGGTACTTCGATTCGCTGATGGAACCGTTTTCTAGCAGTTTTTCCATGTCCTCGCACACATCGTCATTATTTGTGGAGTTGAATTTACGTTTGACTTATCTCACTGGCGTGGACAGGGTCGATGTTTAATTAGTGCGTGGCTATTTCCTTTGGGATGCCCGACATATCCGCATGGCTGAAAGCAAACAAATCTACGTTAGCTATTAAAAATTGACTGTATTTACCTGGTTCCCGAAGCTTGCAACCGATATAGGCCTTCTTGCTGTGGTTGTTGAGATTCAATTGAACGGGGTCGAGGTCTTCTATGGTTGAACCAGTGGTTTCGACCGCGTCAGGGTCCTTGATGACGTCCTATGTCTCCTCTTGATCCGACCTGGACCCTGTTGATTGCTATGCCTCTTTTTCTTTGTCTTTTCTCTGTTGGGAATTTAATTACTTGGTATAAGCTGGAGGGGACGACTTTCATGGGATATATCCATCGTTGTCCCACAATGGCATTGTACGGGGTGGCTGATGTTGCCCAAATTCACACCACTAATTGGGATTGTGAAATGATCAATGCAACTATAATTACCCAACGTGAGTCAGGGTCGATTCCACAGAGAGCTTATGTTGGATTAGGTATATATCTAGACTAAGTGTATGATATGACCAAAATGCACTTCCACATATTTGGTTGTTTCTTTCTACTTCTAATGATTATGCTAATGTTTACAAATGAAAAGCTAGAGAACGATATTTTTGGTGTTGTTGTTTTTCAAGTTGATAAAAGATCTAGGGTCGTGACTTCCACCTAGGTGGTTACCTAACGGATTGTAAGCTTTAGGGCAAGTTTGATTGGTTGGGGTGTAACATAGCAATCACACACAATTATCCACTCGATACCTCTCGGTAGTTAGAGTAGTTTTTTCCAATTTGGCTTTCTCAAGTCCAAATGGGTAATTCACAAAACAAGTGATATATGCTCAAGTTGGGTCTTACTATCTCTAGATTCAACCCTTTAATTGGGGCTATCAATTTCTTGAGTTCACCCCAATTCCTTGTTAACCAAGTTTTCCTAGACTTAGTCTCTCTTTCTCAAGTAGAGACTAAGTCAATTAGGCATGAATCAATGTTTGCAACCATTAATTCTTAAATTCAAGCAAGAACTAGGCTAAATATCACTAACCTAATCACAAACAAGCCCTAAATTAAACACCCATTAGGTACCTACACTAGGGTTGGGTCACAACCCTAGCTAAGAAATTAGCTACTCATAGAGGAAATTGAAGAAAGTAAAGAAAAAAATAAGATTAAACTCATAATAAATGATAAAGGGAAGAAAATCCAATGTTAAAATGATAAACTATTACAAAGTTACCCAAATCAGTAAAGGAAAAACGGCTATCTATTTTCTGATATTCCAACTTAACCTAAATTTGACAAAAAGAACTATTTATACACAGCTGAAATTATCAGACAAAATTGGCCCTACGGAGGTTCTGCGGCCGCACAATTCTGTATGCGGTCCGCACGTTGGTGTTGGCTTGACAGGATGGACTTTTGCAGTCGTAAAATTTTGGGTTGCGGCCGCACTTCTTCAGATTCTGCGGACCGAACAATTATGAGTGCGGCCGCACTCTTGAGTTTGAGCTTTGACATGGAAGGCTTCTGCGGAACGCATATTTCTGAGTGCGGCCACACTTTTGATTCTGCGGCTGCATAATAATGGTGTGGTCCGCACTTCTTCATGGACCAAAATCACATCTCTCTGAACCTCATCTTCTGCGGCCACACTATAATTGTGCGGTCCGCACTTTGCATAGAAAATCTGACAGAGGAGTCTTCATAGTCTACGGCCGCACGCAATATTGTGTGGTCCGCACTTTGCTCTTTTTTGCTTTGTTTTTGTCCTTGTCCAAAATTACTCCTTCTTGAGTTGATTTTCATCTCTTTGGCTCATTTTCCACTAATCTTGCAAGTAAGCACATTTTATCAGTTCTGGGGAATACCTTTAAGCATTTTTGAGCTAAAATACAAGTAAAAGAGTGCAAATAAGTAGTCAAAATCCCTACTTATCAACTCTCCCAAACTTAAGCTTTTGCTTGTCCTCAAGCAAATAAGGTAATTCCCACCTCAACAAGAAAATATCTATTTCAGCTAGCTTAAGGTGAATTAAACACATATCAATTGGGACCAACAATTACCCACAACATTTATGAATTATCAACAAGGCAATGATTTGACTTTTCAAGTACAATAGTTCAAATGTGACACTAGAGTATCAAGAGTTGACTTTATTCATCAAGGAAGCTCGCTCTTTTATGTAGGCCATTGTGGATCCCAAACTCCTCCTCCTCTACTCTCCGTTAGCATATCTCACTTAAGAATGTAGCCCTCAATTCAAGGATTTTTGAAAAGTTCGCTAATCTCTCTCAAAAGAATGTCATAAGTACGGCTCTAGGTATCATATGCTTGACCCTCATGTGAATCACCACTAATGTAAGTTCACTCAGCTTGAAATCACGTAGGGCTTTTGCAGAATGTAATAAAGGCTTTTGGACAAAGGTAGGGAACGTTGGAATAGAAACGGGTTCATCTTTTCTTAAGCACTCCATTTTTCTCTTTTTGGCTCATGTTGTGCCGACTCTTTGAGTCATTATCTTTTTCTTTAGGTGAACTAGAGAGACATAACATCACTCTTTCTCGGTCATGATGGTCATTTTCTCCTTCTTTGTTTTCTCCATGCTTTGCATTATTGCTTTTCTTTGAATCCCTTCAACTCTTCACTTTATTCACTTTCTTTTTGTATTTTTCTTTTGTTCATTCTTTCTTTTTTCTTTGCCTATCCTTTTTTTCATTTCTTTTCTTTTTGTGCCTTCTTACCACTTTCAATCTCCCCGTCTCTACCCCAAACTTACGTTTTAGCCAATTACTTCTCAAGAGTGATAAGGAAAGTTAGGGTGCCAAGAGAGGGTCACTACAAAACGGGTAAAGGCTTGTAACGTGTCTATCAAATGAGAAAGGTCTTAGGCTCGAATGGGTTGACTAGTGATTGCAACATTGGTGGGACATGGAAAATTTTAAGCAGGTCAAGGAGAGCCTACAATCACTTCTCAAGCCAAGCAAAACTTAGAATTTCGCCTAGAAACACATTCGGGGCAAGTTCTAGACCATTCACACTGGTACTTGGACTTGCAACAAAAATCTCACTTCTCACACAATTGGATTGTTAAAGAGGATAGATTCGAGGGCCCACAACAACCATATTCAAGATTGAAAATCGCGAATGGTTCAACTAAACCACTCGATGATTGCTCAAGTCAATACAAGAGTATAAAGGTCACTAATTAAAGCTATTTCATGCCAAGAACTTGTTTTTAACCATAAGGCCGTAGTTAAATGTGTTGGTACCAGATGAAGCATGCTTGACCCTTTTTATTCATTAATACTACTATTTTTACCTAAACATAAAAAACAGACTCAATCCTTTAAGAAGGTTGTCACGCCATCCATCGTTGGGAAGAGTCACCTGGTTCACACAAAACCCACCTTTGAATTGTGGAGTTAAGAAAACCAAAGGATTATTGCTCACTTAAACATAAGAAGAAGATACCAAATCAAAAAGAATCTATTAAAGTAAATAAGAAGTTATACTACTAAGACAAACAAAAGAGAAGCTATGAAATAAACTACTGAAAGTAAGACAAATGAATATACAAACCGAGGGAAACAGAATATATACATCGAAAGTGAGGGAGGAATATATACATAATGAAAGAGAGAATAAAGATAAAAGAAAAAGAGTATTAAAGTTATTACAAACCAATGTCATATCAAATCAATCAAAATNCCCCCCCCCCCCGAATAAGAATAAGCATTGTCCTCAAGACTTAACAAAAATCAAAATAATGAAGGTAGAAAGTTAAGAGAACTCCCTATGTGGTCTCAGTGTGCATGGGATCATCAACATCCTCGGGCTCCGCCAACTGGATCTCATCATCCTCCAGCCAGGGAATAACGGGGTTGGAGAACATCTGAAGCATCTCCTTAGCAGTGTGGGCAACAAGGTCTGGCTCTTTAGACTGGCCAGCTACTGCCTCTGATGCCCCAGGTACTAATGGTGTTGCTAGTGCTGCTGGTGCTGACTCCAAGTGGTAGATCTCCAGCAGATGCTATCTTGGCAATTTCTTTTCTTAATCTAACCACTAACTTCTTCGAAGCCTGATATTTTCGCATCTTCTTCACCTGTTTTCCAGACTCCTCAATGACTGTCCCATGTGCCACCAGAGTATCCATAATGGTCTTCTGATTTTCCAGGATCTTTGATAATGTTTCCTCCACTATAGAGGTACCTATGATGCTGCTGGGGTAGAAGACTATGCTGTAATAGCACTGGATATGTCAGACAACTTTAAGGTAGCTGTCTGCATCCAGTTGTGGATCTGTGGATGAGGCATGCACCAGTACTGATGTAGATGGTCTAGAAGGTGGACGTGGTGGTATGTCAGCTGTTTCGGTGGAAGGACTGGCTGCTGTGGAAGGCATGGTAGCTGTAGAAGGCTCAGCAGCAGAATTTGTAACCACCACCACTGGCTCATCAGACTGGCCACCGGTGGTAGTTGCTTTACCCTTGAACTTTGGGTTACCCGGTCTTTGCATAGA